AGAAAACTTTCACAATGACAGTGCTTCTTTCCACACATTCCTTGCAATAAAAAAAATGTTTCTTGTTGATGAAGGTGTTCAACTTTTAGAACAGTGGCCAGCACAAAGCCCTGATCTCTGTATATTTGAACAATTACGGCACGAACCGAAGAAACAATTGCTCCAACAGAAGCCACGCAATTTCCAAAAGCTTTATGATTACTGCTAAGAAGAATGGGAAAAATCCCAAACGAGAAAATCTGTACATTGTTCCATTCAATGCCACATTGAATTGAGGCAATTATTTGAGCCAAAGGCAGCAACACTAATTGCTAACTCCATATTTTGACTGTAATAACAAAGATCACTTTTTGTTAAAAAAAAAAAAATTCTTTTTAACTCAAGAGCTGAATGGTTAAATTTTAATTGGTGGCTCTGTATTTTTGCATAGAATTTTTTCAGTATCACTACGCTTAAGATGCTTTATCAAGTACCATACCACATTAAGGAAAATGCAGTAACTTGTTTCCTGGGTGTCAATCAAAATTATATATATATATATATATATATATATATATATATATATATATATATATATATATATATATATATAAAGCAGTATATCTTCATTCAAATATGTTTATATATTAGATAATATAGACATATTATGTAATATAGACTCATTTATTTTATAATATTCTCGAGATCGAAAGTACTTGGGTTAACAAAACCTACGACGCCTTCCTTGATGAATTTCAACTTAACATCAAGAAACTAATTAGAAGACTGGAAAGAATTACTATATAAAATAGACAGAATATGTCTATATTATTCAATGAAACATGCTTGAATATATATATGTATATGTGTGTGTAAACATGATTAATTACCATTTCTCCATCGGAAACGTAGCAGGATTGAACGCTGCCACATTTAACATCGGTTATTCTACAGGAAGAATTTAGAGCGAAGCGAACTGCTTTCGTTTGGTCTGGTTTGGTTGAATTCGTTTAGCAACACCTCTATTGATTATTTAATGCCGAAATCTAAATATTTTGTACGTAATTTTATACCTGCATTACATACATTTTTAATGCAATTTTTATATTTATATTTTTACATAATTTTATGCTTTCAGAGTAAGCATATGTTTTATATATATATATATATATATATATATATATATATATATATATATATATATTATAGATGATTTCTTTTAGGTGTTATATTTTTTTGGTGTAAATCTATTTCTTTAAGGTAAGACATTATGGTGGCGGTTTCGGTATTTTCAAATAGTTTTTTCGTGTTGGTTTCCTTGTAGGTTGTCTTATTGGTGGTAGGTGGCAGAACTTACCCACCTCCCTCTGCAGAGGTGCAGTTGGCGTATTGTACAGCCTCAGCTGAAAGAAAGAAAAATGGATTGGACGACGTGAAAAAGTTGAATAGGACATAAAAATTTCCAGATCGAGACATTCGAGAGTGTCTCCTATGGATGGCAAGTTAAATCATTTACCTCTCTATTCTGGAAGAATATGGGCGTTAAAATCCAGAATGACAAGATAATTTAACGCCATAATGTAAAATACCTCGATACTTAGAAATGTGCAAATGTCCTACGTTCAGTCCATTTCCAAGTGGAAAGAAATAAAAGAATATAATTTTGAACATAATTGATGAATTAAATTTGTAAAACATTTAGGTGGTTTCTTTTATACATTTCAAGAATAAAAAAATACGCACATTCAGTTAAAAAATAAAAAATAAAAACCGTCCTTGATAACAGCTAAAATAATAACCGAATGCGCTCGGATATGCAGAAATTTGGGACAATTTTGAAACAATTTGTGTCCAGAAAAGAAAATAATTATACAAACACAAGAAAAACTAAATAAAAAGCTATACTGCAGTATCTTGTCGATACACATATATGATGGCTAAGCGGTCGGGTTTCGATCCTGGCTTGAAGTAATTGGATGTTTAGTCACACTGATGAACTGTGATACAGCGATACAGGCTTGTACGTAGACGACTATATATATATATATATATATATATATATATATATATATATATATATATATATATATACAGTCATCCATATATATATATATATATATATATATATATATATATATATATATATATATATATATATAATAAAAAGGCTTAAACACTAATATTCCATGGTCATAATTTATTCCATTGGAATCGTAAATACGATCCAAATCATCAGACCTACAAATTCAAAATGAAAACAGAAAAAACAACTCCGGAAATCAAAACAGAATTTAGAGAAAGTGTAAGTATGAGGAGGAGGGACATGAAACTTTAACAGAGAGAATTTTAGGAGATGTGGGTGGGGGTGGGGGGAATTTAAAAAGAGGAGAGAAAGAAAGTCGACGGATGTCTAATGCATAAAGATACATTTCGTGGTGACATACACACACCACAGACAATTAGAAGTTAGGATAGGGGGTAGTCATCTACGTACAAGCCTGGTTTGTTGTATCAGTGTGACTAGACATCCGACTGCTTCAAGCCAAGATCAAAACCCGACCGCTTAGCCATCAGAGAAAGGAAATTCTAACGTATTATATGCGAATGTATACAAACGCCAGCAGTCAAAGGTTTCAGTTCATTAATGAAGAGCGGTGCTTTAATAACGGCGACAGCTACTGTTTTGGAATTACCTAACTCCCAACAGTGTTCGATCGAATATACGAGAGCTTTTAATATGACCATCGATATACAGGCCTGTTTCGTTATATCACAGCTCGTCAATGTGGCTAGACATCTGATTTCTTCAAGATGGACAACGAAACCCGTCCGATTTACCAACAGTCGGAGATCCTACCCCTAAGCTCTCAGCACACGACAAAAAGGGGAAATTCTGACGTGTTATATACGAATGTATAGAAACACCAGCAGCCAGAGTGCTCAATCCATTAATGAAGAGTGGTGCGTTAATAGCGGCGACGGCTATTGTTTTGAAATTACCTTTCTCTAAATAGTGCTTGATCGAAATGACGAGAGCGTAACATTGCATATATATATATATATATATATATATATATATATATATATATATATATATATATATAATGTTGATCATATCTCTTATATCAGTATGATTGTCTTACAAGAAAATTCAATGATCAAACTTTCATTTCAACCTGTCGGTCGTTACTTGTAAGGCCTTCAAAAACAATCATGGTGAGTTATAATAAGCTACAGATCAATTATGGTCGAACTTTTTGCACAAGCAAATTGGTTGAGGACACGAGATTGCTAACCAGTGCGCTACGGTATTTATGAAAATGCATTTTCTATGGTAATCGAGCCATAAACCTCCTGACCCGCTTTTCATTATGGGATCTCCAAAGCCATCACCCGTTGCCCGGGACTGGTTCTTTGTCCTTCGGTTTTTGTTAGGCTGATTGGGCCGCTGTGAAACACGAAAACGCACGCAGCTTAAATAAACAAGATATTTGTTCGTCGTATGAATACAGACCCGCGACACGTGTTAAGAGTTATAAACTCCTGGCCCACTTTTGGTCCGCGATGTTTTGTTTTGATTGTACACCTACAGTGGAGAAAGACTGGGATTAAAAAAGAAAGAAAGAAAGAAAAGAAAGAAAGAAAGATAGATATACGTTTAGCAGAAACAAGTAGTTAAGATAAACTAGAAAGGGAGATAATTTGTTCGGGTTTCAGCATAAAATGTTCTTTTAAAAGGCCTCAAAAAAAAAACGAAGATAATGACCTCCGTCTTTTGTTTGAAGCAGCCTCGTTTCTGCTGGGCTGCGCAAGTGTCTTTTTTCTATTTCTTTCTTTTTCTTGTCTATCTTTCACCTGCTTTATAGAAACTGCAAATATTTGGCTCGCTCTTTTTATTCGCTTAGTTTCGTTTCTATTTCTTGCGCTCGTGTTTTATTATCATTTTTTTTCATTTTCTTTTCTTCTATCTTCATTTTATTTATTTTTTTAATCTCTCATCATTCTTGAAAGGTTTTACTAAAATATATTTGTATATAAATGTCTTTCCTTCGTTCTTTATTTTACTTTTCTTCTTTTATTCTTTCTTTTTTTATTTTTTCTTTTCCTCTTCTTTTTTTTATTCTTTTCTTATACTGCCTCTCTTTTCCTCCGCTCCTTTTTTATTCTTTCTACCTTTTCCTACATTCCTTTGTATTCTTTCTTTTCTATCATTCTTTTGCCTCCTCTCCTTTTTATTCTTTTCTTTTTCTTTTCTCCTTTTCCTCCTTCTTTTCTACCTTTCTTTACCCCTTTCTTATTTATTCTTTCCTTTTATTACGTTTCTTTTTACACTTTTATTTTATCTTTTCTTCTCTTCTTAAAGTTCATTTCCCAGCATCCCTTGCTGTTTTTTTTCTCCGTTTTTCTTTATTCATTTGTCTTTCTCTTTTTTCTCGTCTTTTCTGTCTTCATTTTTCTTTCTTTTTTGATTCTTTTTTTTTCTTTCTTTTTTTTCTTTCCTTTCCTTCCTTCTTTCTTTTTTCTTTCGTTTTTTCTTTTTTGTTTCTTTCCGTCTTTCATCCTTTCTTTCTTTCCGTCTTTCTTTCTTTCTTTCTTTGCGCTTTACTCTTACCTATTCTTCTTAGTCTCCTTTTACCTCTTAAAACTCATTCTTCGCCCTTTTTTCTTTATTCTTCTCTTTATTTTCTCTGTTCATTCTTTCTTTCTTTTCATGGTTCATATTCTTCCTTTGCACATCTCGCTTCCTCTTTTACTTCACCCTTCTAGTTTTCTTTCTGGTTCTACTTATTTATTTACTCTTTCTCTCCCGTTTTCTTCTTTGTTTCCACTTCTTGTCTACTTTTTCATCTATTCTCTTCTCTACACAAAATTTAACTTCTTTTCTTTTAAGTAATTTCCTTTTAATTTGATTTTTGTCTTTTTTTTTAAATTCCCCTCTTCTTTCTCCCTATTTTCTCCCTATTTTTCTTTTTCATTAAATTTTTTATTTCTCTCATTTTAAGTTTTCTTTTTTGCTGTTCTTAAAAGTGATAGATAGATAGATAGATAGATAGATAGATAGATAGATAGATAGATAGAAAAGCAGCTGACACACTGTCATGTTTAAAAAATTATTTTCTCAAACATTTACCATCGTTTTATTTCATAAAGGATACAGACAGCATCTATATAGTGATTTTCCAACCGTAGAATAGATGTGGCACAAGGCTTAACGTATGGAGCACCCAGTGAGGATCAAACTCACTACTCAGTCGTAATTGTTCTAGCGAGACAAACTTGTTAATCATGACACCGCTTCAATAATTTTCTAAGCGTAACTTAGTTGTGGCACAAGGCCAAAAGTATGGGGCACCCATTGAGAATCCTGAAAAGGGTACCGAAAGTACAGGGTACCTAAAGTATGGGGTACCCAAAGTACGGGGCACTGATCGAGTGAGATCAGCTTGCTAACCATTACACCACGTCGTGGTGCCCTATACAGCCTCTCGAGATATAAAGTTGTAGCCTCTGTCTGTTTGTTATCGGACTCCTCCTAGGGTTTCGGAGATAAACATATATATTCTGAAACTACATTACCCAGGGTACTTGTATAAGTATATTTCATTTTGATCAAAGGGGAGAGAGCACAAACGACCCAATTATTTTTTTCCCTTTGATTTAAATTAAATTTAAATTTCAACAAGGTAATGACTCCTATCCAAAGCCAGAAATAGAGGTCATATCAGTAAGATCAAAATGAGACAATATGGACGTCAAGTTGAGTGAGAAACCACCAATCTGTGGCTAGTGGCTTGCAATACATATTTGCAATACATATTTGTTGCGAGAATTCAACTGACATATCAATGTTGAAATCTGCTCGTCAGTTCATTCAATCAAGTATTGCATCAAATACATATTAAAGCGGTCAGACCAAGCCGCTTTTGCACACACACACACACACACACACTGATTTTTTCTCTTTGAGTTAAATTAAATTTAAATTTGAATAAGAAAATGACTCCTATGCAAAATAGAGAAAGAAAAACCCAGAAGATGGAGGTCATATCGGCAAGAACATGGAGTAATACTGAAATGCATCATTTTTCTCCACAAATTATAACAGTGATTTAAAATCTATCATCATTTTCTTACAATAAAAATGTGTGACACGCTGCAAGGGGCGGGTAATTCGGCTAGTATAACTGCTAACAGTAAACTGGAATTGCATGCTTTTTCAAAGTACATAATTGTTTAGTGCCTGTTTTCTAAATGGAGAGAGTTTGTATGCTTTGAGAATCAGGATGTCGAAATTCTAGCCTTTTATCGGCGAAGACAAAACAAAATAAAGAAAAAAAAGAAATATAAAGAAAAGGAATGGATTTTTTATTACTTAAAACGTTATTTTTAGTGAATATTTGTACTTGAGAAAAACATGTGATCTCCGACAGGATTCGAAACTGAATTTCTCTTGGCTAAAGAGTGCGTCGTTGACAATGTGATACTGAATAGTGCCTTTAAACACAGATTTTTCTTTGACTCTAGAAATCGACAAATCTACCCCGTTTCGTATCCTAACGTAAACAAAGCAATTTGTAAAGAAAGGGATGGATTATCTATTCTTTAATACGACATTTTTATTACTTAAACATTATTTTTAGTGGATACTCGTATTCGAGTAGACGTTTCGTGTATTTATTAAACATTTATTTTCGTCTATCATCCACTAAAAATAACGTGTGATAAATCCACGAAATTTTATTGTTGTAAGTGTTTTTCAGTTAAATTGGCATGGACTAAAGTATGATCAAATTAATAGAGTATATGTCAGTTTTTTTTCCACAGAATTTAAGATTCTAAATGCACTGCTGATCGATTTTCGTAAATATATTAGAGTATGCAGTATATATATTGTATCATAAGAACTAATTAACTAATTATATAAAGAATTAATTAACAATATTATTTATCACATTGCAACAAAATTATTTATCACATTACTAAATTCAAAAAAAATATCATGTGAATTATTTAAACAAGAACTCTACCGTTGCGGCATCGCACATTCCAAAATAATATAACTGTCAATAAATAGCATAATTTTAAAAATATCTTTCGGTCTGCATTACATTTATTTCGTCTTGGTGCTTACATGTAAAGGGAAATATTACGCCCTGAATATGACAATTTGAAATTGTCGAAAGTACTCTTTTGAGTCTGAGTCTCAATCGTTTTTTTTTTTATCGCGAAATCTACGTTTGTATGTCATTTTATATTAATATTAAGTTCCATCTGTATGTAACTTTTTTGACAACAACTCAGTTATAAGGATCGCGCTATTCAAAAGGAAACGATGATAGTAAGTTAATATTTCACTAATTTCTTCTTTTAACAGCAAATGCAGTAGATTTTTTTTTTTGACGTTTACGCAAAATACCATTAATCACATTAACATTGCTAATTAAATCTTTGTATAATTACTTTTTTTTTTTTTTATGAAATATATATATATATATATATATATATATATATATATATATATATATCACTTTTTTTTGCATGGTCGATTTTTGAATAAAGGAAGGAAACTTCCTAATGTTATCGATCTAGAAGGAGGTGATCCCAGCGTGTGGCACCTTTGAAAAGTGTCTGAAAACGATAAAAACAATATAAATAAACGTGGTTATGTTTAAAAACATCTATTCAAAACTACTACTACTAACTTTCCAAGACAATCATCAGTAGTCAATATGTGAAAATTGTTCCAAGCTTGATTTTGCCACCATTTCTACAGTGAGTGAAATTGGTTAGATGAAACCCTTGTATATTTATGACCGTCGATAGCTAATTTTAATCCATTTTGATTAACAATGACCGATAAATTGGTTATGTTTACAGCACGATGTCACAATTTTATCGATCTAGAAGGATCCACCATCGTGACCTAGGCTTTGAGTGTGATGATCACGCTAGATAACACGCTCTCTCGCCGAAATTGTAGCTGAGGTCTGCTCGGCATAGTTGCAGTATAAAAAACAGGTTGGCTCTGTGGGTGTCGAACAAACACAAATGTGCCTGAGCGAGCGTCTGCAATAGGTATTGGCTAGCCACCTTAATAGACAGCTATTATATATATATATATATATATATATATATATATATATATATATATATATATATATATATATATATATATTCCTTAAACGTTATTTTTAGAAAGACGAAAAAATAAATATACTGTTTAATAAAGAAACGAAGCGTATACTCAAATACGAGTATCCACTAAAAATAATGTTTAAGTAATACTAATTTTGAATATAACAGCGTGGCAACTCACGGGGCCTATTTGCTATTGTCCGTAACAAATGTAAGCGAGTCTTCGAGGGAAGCTAAAGCCCTGTTTGCTGAGAGAATGAGGCACAGCATGGACTCTAAAAAACTTTGGCTCTGAATTGTTTCATCTTCGCTCATTGCAGGGTCTATTCTCAGACAAGAAATACGGCTTTCGTTTTTCCAGGTCAACTGCTAGTAATTGCGGAAAAAGTCTATCATGTTCTAGATAAAAACGGTGATGCCCAGGCTGTAACATTTTGACATCTCGAAATCCTCTGACAATGTCTGGCATCCAGGTCTTCTCCATAAATTGAAAAGTTACAATATCTCCAGACACATTTTTGAGCTGGTCCAGTCGTTCCTATCAAATCGTGAAATGAAAGTTATCCTGAACGGCCATTCATCTACATCCTTTCGTACTAACGCGAGCCCCATCCTTGGCCCTACGCTGTTTTTAATCTTCATTAACGACCTCCCAGATGACATCAAGTCTCAACTTAGCATCTACGCGAACGACACTACCATTAACTTCTGCGTCGATCGTAAGGATGATCCGTCCGACAAGGTCAAAATGGCAACTGGTGTCAAAAACGATCTCAAAGCTCTCGCTAACTGGAGCAAAAAGATGGCTTGTTAATTTTAACGCCTCCAAAACTAAACTTGTTTCCATTAATCACCTGAGACCCCTCTCTGCCTTCCATCAGCATGGCTAATGCTATCCTCCAGGAAAGTGACCCGTTGAGCCTCCTTGGGCTAACATCCTCAGCTAACATTATGCGGAAAGACTATATTAAATCCATTGCTAAATCAGTTGCTAGGAAGTTGGTTCACTGTGTCGTGCGAGACAATTTTTCTCTCCAGAATCTATCTTGGATATCTATAAGTCTACCATTCGTCTATGCTTAGGATATTGCTGCTATATATTTTCTGGTACTTCTGCTGTTTACCCAGATTTCATTGATAAAATCCAAAGAAGAATCAGCAATATTATTGGTCCTGATCTGGCGGCATGGCTAAAGTTACTTGCCCAGCGCTATAAGATTAACTATCTGTGCCCTTTTTTAAGTACTTTCATGGTAATTGTTCGCTATGGTACTTAGACTGTATGAATTTAAAGCTAATACTAGACTGGAGGCGAGATTTCATCAATTTACAGTTGAGCTGGCTAGATGTAGACGTAACTTCTATGCTGGCAGTTTCTTTTCACGCATTTCTCGTCTGTGGAACTCCCTTTCGGCTCCATGCTTTCCAGCCAACTTTGATCTGAAAAATTTAAATGCAACGTCAATCGCTATGTACTGTCCTCCAGATTCTTGTTTTTATGCACATTACTAATGTTCTCGTTCCTAATTCATCTACAACCTGTAACCCCTTCCGTGTTAGTGGGCTGTACTGCCTTGCTTGGGGTGATACCGATAAAAAAAGTTCCTCTTAAAGCCCCTCCCCACTTCAAAATTTTCTATCGATGGATCTAAAGACAATGAATTTAGACGGAAAACAACTTTGAATCCAAAGCCAGCTTATGAAGGATAGTTGATGCTAGGATCTCATTCTACAAAGAAAAACGGTTCACTGTGCCGTGCCAGAAGGTTTTTTCTTGTCAGGGTCCATCTTACACATCTACAAATCTACTATTCGTCTAGGCATTGAATATTGCTGCTATATCTGGTCTGGTGCCCTGTCGTTACTCGAGGTTCTTGACAAAATCCAAAGAAGGATGTGCAATGTAATCGATTCTGACTTGACATCTCGACTTCAGTCACTCTCTCATAGACGTGACGTGGCTTCCCTCTGTCTTTTCTACAAATATTTTCATGGCAACTGTTCTGATGCCCCGACTACATGAATTTAAAATATTAGCATCTAGGTCCCACACTTTTACTGTTGAAATAGTTAAATGCAACCGCCACTTCTACTCAAGCAGTTTCTTTTCTCGCACTCCTTGCCTCTTACTTGCTTCCAGGATAGCTACAATTTTCAAAAATTTAAATGTAACGTCAATCGCCATCTTCTGTTGCCTTGACCCCCGTTCTTCTTTTATCCTTTCTTCAATTACCTCTAGACACAGTCTTTTCCCTCAATTTCATTCTCTGTAACCCTCTGCGTGCTAGTGGCACTCCCGCCTTGTTTGGGGATGAAATGTTTTGTTTTTTTTAAATCTCTGCTACTATTACTGCGACTATAGTATATATGATGACCCAACGACCCTCCTGGTTATAGGATTAATGCAAGAATTTTTTTTAAATTCCTATTTTAATTTCTGTCATGAGTAGTTTTCATTATTTACTTCATTTACGTCCGACTAATGTTCTCATTTTCTTGTTATTATTACAGCGCCTCAGTCATTGTGCTCTCTGGCCTTCTTCATACGCCTGCTGACCCGGGGTAACTACAAGCTAAACCCTTTATTTAATCTACAGAGGATAGATTGCTCTGGTTTTACTGTCCATGTCTACGGATATCTCATCCTGTATTTATTTAGTACTGCTCTGTAATGCTCGCTCTATTACCATTGTCTGTACTACCCGACCCAGGTACTGAACTCATAAACATTTCGTTAGCAAATTCACGAATCAACATGTATCTATTGACCCGTGCAGTAGCAGTAAGAAAAGAAAAACGGCGATGAAAGGCAATCAAGTGTGACAGCAACAATATCAACAGCCTCAGCAGCAGACAGGATAGAATAACATGAAGGATAAGGCTTCAGGTTCAAGATGGTGATAAAAAGATGAGGATATTAGTCTGAATGTAAATGAAGTAAATATATTTAAAATGTATGTAAATTTAAAGAAATGCAGAATCACTGCACATCTTTATTTAATCAGTTCACCCAAGGCAAGGCAATAAAGCCACTAAGATACAGATATATACTGAGTGTGAAAGAATAAGAAAAAAAAAGAGGAAAATTATTAAGGGGTGAGAACAATAAAAGAAGAGGAATCAAGAAGACAGTAGATAGCGATTCATATTGCATTTAAATTTTTGAAGATCAAAGTTGGCTGAAAAGCATGGCGCCGGAAGAGAGTTCCACAAGCAAGATCTGATCAATGTAATTCGAAGAGAAAATAGTAGCATAATCAGGAAGTTGACTTTCTACACTACTTCAAACAAAAGGTTAGGAAGGAAACCCCCACTAATACTGAAATGAGCAATAACACTTGCTGGACAAGAATAACATTAATTCCTTGAAAATTGGTTTTAAAAGAAAGATTTAATAAATTTTGAACTAAGAGTAGCACTGGCTGTTCGGTCAATGAATGACGAATGTTTTATAATATTACCATTATCGTTAATTCAGTTCAAATGTCTCTCTGATTAACAGACGCAGTTATCAGACAAAAAAATACAGTTGATTATAGATTAATCAAATCATGAGATATAAACTAGAATAAAGGCAAATACAGATATTGATTTTTGAAGGGCGATGCAGTATGCAATTATATGAGAGAATGAACTGACAGGTATTGCACAATTCCTAGTGGATTACATTTCCTACCCAGTCGTGCCTATTATTTTGCATTTTTCATTCCCTTATTATATGAGTAACAGTTTCATCATTATATCAGTCATTAATTTTTGTGTTTTGTCTATTTTAAAATTAATACAGTTTTAGTCCATTCGTTTTGAGAAGTTAAAGCGTTTCACTTTCTCTTTTCAAATGTCCTCGTCGCAACCATAACTTTCATTTCGTCTGAGATACTTTTCTTTTGCTCGGGGTTATTATTATTTTTAGATTTATGGTTTTCGAATTTTCCCCTACTTTTTTTTTCTTTTGCCAGTTCTTCAACTTCTGGCTGCCTTAAGCAGTCTATTTTTTTTTTTATTATTCTGTATTGTGTAGTCCTTAAATCTCTTTGATAGCCGAGTAAATTAAATTTTGAGATCGATTTCACCGAGGAAGACACAAAGACTGAAAGTGAAAGGGTCAAGATAGGCGATGAAGGGTTAAAAGGATACATAATGACATAAAGAAGACAAGCGGTGAAAAGTCAAGTAAATTACCCCCAAAATGCCACGAAGGTGTCCACGTGTATGTACACAAACTCGGTACCGGGCAGCAGGTGATCGATGGACTCAGTGGAGCTTTTGTAAAGTCTAGAAAACTAAATCAGATCTCCTCCAATATCCATCACCCACCTGCACACACACACACACTCTCTCTATCATCTTCTTCTTCTTCTTCTTCTTCTTCTTCTTCTTCTTCTTCTTCTTCTTCTTCTTCTTCTATCTATCTATCTATCTATCTATCTATGGCTTTCTTTTCTTTTTTTTATTTCCCTTTTTATACAAATATATCTTCCCTGTCTTAAACTGCGATTACGGACAACCCACCTTCATGATTGGCGCCGCTCGTCAGAGGAGTTTTAAATGAGAAACTGCGACTGCCTGGGTCTCCGGGTCGTCTAGAAACTCGGTCTGGACTCGGTAATTGTACGAGACGTCGCCACATACCCCTTTCACCGATACATACAAAGCCACAAACATTCACGTAACTGTAATGACTCATCTTGTACAGTTTAAAACTAATTATGTTATTCGAACCATTTCTGTTTCGACAGTGAAACGATCACAAACCTTAAAATCTTCATACCAATCGCAGTTGATTTAAAAGTTAGACGTCAATAAGATATGATGTTAATTTTTCAGAATATTCAATATAATTCAGCCTATATCTTGTGTGACAGAATATTTTAAAGGTTTTTAGGATTTTCTTATTGATGATATTATAATCGTTAAGTTTTCACCATAGACGTGCCAGGCGACTCTCGTTAGGGTCAAGTGACAGTAAGTTTCCTCAACGCTATTCTCATTATTATTATTATGAATAATGAGTTTTTCACATCATTAGTACCTAATGTGAAAGCGAGGTTGTGAAAGGGAGGATTTGGGAAGTATAAAAGAGAGAGAGAGAGAGAGAGAGAGAGAGAGGCAAAAGTAATGCCCTTTTTTGAGCTGAGGTGTATAGGCAATTGGGTACGGTGGAGTAATGGATAGTGGCTCAGATTGAGGAATCGGAGGGCACAGTTCAAATTCCAGTCAGATCCATTACATTCTAATACCCTTGGGAAATGTATGAATCCTCTTCTTATCCCTGGCCCCGGCTATAGATAGCCCGGGTTCTATAGCCTTGGATGGCAACTGGTCTACCGCAGAAAGCGTGTATCACGCATGGCACATAACTGATTGATTATTCATCGACACGGAATGTAGAAGAGACGAGTCGAGCCACAGGACCCTGCCTAACCTGTTGCGTTTATTTTCGCACTAATTCACTTGGGGGAGATATGAATCTATTTCTCTACCATCAGCTAAATAACAGTGTAGACTGGGATCTCTTGGCCTTGGATAACAACTAACCTAGGAGAAGGAAAACTCTAAATTCGAAACCGTGAAGAAGGGAACAGAAAACCTCCCCACTATCTTTCCCAAGTATTCTTGTTGCCTAACCCGCCAATTATTAATTGGCGGGGTTGGTAATGGCTGCTCCAGTCACTGCTACACAGTAACGATTTATTTAAGACGTTGCATACTGAGAAAGATAATATTCGGAAAGTTAAAAATTGGACCTAGTCTGAACAGTAATATCGGCAAAAGCAAAAACCAGCTGATATGTTTAGAGACAGAATGCAAAAATTATGAAAACAGATTTGTTGACAACAGGAAATGGAAGAATAAGGTACATCGATGTTGGAAAATATCAGACCGTGTGTCTATAATAAAGTTCACTGTTCACTAAAAAATATACGAATATCAATAAACAGAATGAATTTAGAATGCCCAGCTAACAAAGCTATGGAGTTTTACTTCGTAAAGACTGGCTTCAAAAATTTCAGAGGTCATCCAAGAAACACAATAGTCACAACGATGAACTGAGACATTCAAAGAACAAAGCAGAAAGAGCCCACTTTTCATTTGGAGTAGTTTACAATCAAGGAAGGTTTGCAACAAATCCGCAAACTCGCAGAGGATAGAGAAGGCTGACAAAATATTATTGAATCAGTATAAAATGTCCCGGAAGATGAGAGAACATGTTAATTCATGACCTCAAATCGAAACAGTTTTGAGGATTATGATTCTTGTTAACCCACGAATAAAAGAGAAAAGTAATTTGTTAATTAGTCACGATTACTTGCGTCCTGAAGAGTCAGGACATTTAAAAAATAAAAAGGTACCGACACCCCTGTGCAAAATAATTGAAACAACCGCTCCAGTTTCCTTTCTTTCACCATTCGATCAGTTTTAGACCCACTAGAGTGACAGGGTGTAATCGATTTCTATTCTTTCTCAGATTAGGTCATTTGCAGTGGTATTCAGTAATATGAATCTATGTTCAGGGTTGTATGATGAAATTTGTTTGGTCTTGAAAAATATTGCATCATCTATGATTGCACCAGCTTTTCATCACGCTCAAACACTAATGTCTCGACTGTCGATTAGTTGTCCTATGGCTATTGTTTGCGATGGACGTTACTCCAACGAAGCGTACAAAAATTGTAACGCTACATTAACACAATGGCAAGCCATACCAGTGAGCAAATCAAAGTACTGTCGACTGGCTCGGAAACTCTCCTGATTTAAATACAATCGAGAATCTGTGGTCAATCTGCAAGGAAAGATTTGTGGAGTAGACATACAAAGTACTAACATGGGTAATAGATCATGTTTCATTGGAAAAATACGGAAAAAAAAAGTAAATTATAACGAAATTATTCGTTTTGTTTCAATTAATTTGCACAAGGGTGTAATAGCTCTTGTTGGGATAATGTTACATCAAATGTCTTAAATTCTCCAAATCTTTGCAAAATCGGTGAATATATTTGGTTTTGAGAATCTCCTTAGTAGGCCTAATATAGAAATAAATACGATATGTAAGCCATTAATAAAGCGAGAAATGGAAATGAAAACAAGGCTTCAAGTGCAGTAGAAGGGGTAAGCCTTGGTGAATGCAGTCAAGCGTGGCAAGTAGAGGAGTACACATCAGCAGGCAGGAATTAAAGCGTTGGTTTGTAAATTTGATGAAATTGTTCATTCCCTGGGCCGGGCAGTGAGTGAATTCTCACTCAGTAGAAATGAGAATGAGCAATAAGAAGTAGATGAGCTGTATCTAGAACTGATATTGTAACTGTGACAGGACAGAGTCGCGTGTATGTTTTGCAAGGGAGTGTCGAGACGGCGAATCGACGAGCTTCGGACGGGTGGTAAATCGGATATGGTGGTGTCGCTTGTAGCCATTTTTATTGGCTGGTTCTGGGCGCTCATTGGCTGCGTGTTGGCTGGGTCAGGTGTATAAAAACATGGTAGGCTCATTTAACAGATGTTGAGCTTGTCATTCGGGATGGTGAGTGGCATATTGGAGATCGAGGCAAGTGTGAATTTGTTTTGCCGAGGGAACCTATTGGACTCGTACTACCCCTACCTTCTTTTCCTGTGTATGCTTCCAACCAATTTTTGCAACAAGCTATTTCGGCGATTGCTCCCCCTCCATTTCTTTCCATGATGTCGGACTAGGCCTTTGACACCCGGCTGATTCCGGAGTACAGCGGTGCCGCGACTGGCCTGCCGATCGTAGAATGGATCGAAAACGTTGAGTTAGTTTGCGAGCTCTGTGCCATGGACATCGTCGAAAGTGTCTTGCCGCTACGACTTCGAGGCGGTGCTCTTGTCGTGTATCGGCAACTGAGTAAGGAACAAAAGGAAGATGCGGAAGAGATCAAACGCGTCCTAATGACCGCATACGCAACAGATGCGTTCAATGCTTTTGACCAATTCGTCAGAATTAAACAGTGGATGAATTTTTGGCCGAGTTACATCGCCTGGTTCGGCTAGTAGGAAGATTGCTGCCGGAACGTTGGATGGCGTGCGCATTTGTATCCGGTCTGCCACATGTTAGACAGCTTCTGCGGGCGTCGTCTAGGAGGGTGTTTATGACTGTGGAGTAGTTGCTAACCCGGGATCGGGCAATCATGACTGATGACAAGGAGCATGAGGAATCGGTCGCCGCGTCTACTCAATAAACGCGCACAGACAAGGAAGTTTTACACAATAACTCAGGTAGAGGAGCTGTCGTGTTATAGGTGCTCTGGTCCTAACCATATAGCCAGAAATTGTATGCAGGGCCGTTCAGAGAGAATGGATAATCGAGCGCGAAGAACCCGCCTGGGATGAGGTGTTTTAAATGCGACAAGGTCGGGCATATATCATCAGAATGCACATATCAGGGAAACGCCTGAGGGAAAAGGACTTCAGCGCTAGTCTCCTTCCCAGACAATTACAGAAACGGGAACTGCCTGTTGTAGAGGTTTTTGTCAATTGACAGAAATGTGCCGCTCTGGTGGACTCTGGGTGCTCACAGACGCTGGTGAGCAGAGCTGTGTGCCGTCTATGGAGGCAGAAGGAGGTGAAAGTATTAACGGTTGATCGGAGAACTTTAAAATGTCGTGGGTCCAGCAAAATCATGTTGGACATCGGGTAGGATCGTCCTGTGACTATTAAGGCCTTGATCGTTGATAGACAATTGTTGGGATATGATGTTATTCTCGGGATCGACGCAATCAGGGAGCTCAGAGGCGTGCACCTAACCAGATTGGGTGAAGTACGCTTTCCTGATGAAAACCTAAGCCTGTGTGCCGCTATTTCTATTGATGAGCCTGACTTTAGCGTAGCATTCGACAACAATAATAGGGTATGGACCGCCTCATGGAAATGGGCGAGTGGTCACACACATGGTGAATTGAAAAATAAGGTGCAAGAATATACAGTGACCTCCTATGCTCGGGATGCGTACGAGAAAGGATTTTTATTGTGGAAACAAAATGTATGGCTGTTGCCATATCCCTAAAAGTAGCTTGGCCTACCAAAGGGTTTGATTCCTTTGATGGCGATACAGGAGCACAAGCAGATTTATTTCATCTACAGGGATACATTGTTCTCGTTCCAAGGTATCTCCGTAGATTAAGTGAAAAAAAAAACAGTTCAAATTTTCCTGAAGGTTATCAGGATCGACAATCATCGGTTGAAAGCCCGAGGGCACGATAGCCGAAACGCTGTGATAATAACAACAAAAATGAGGACAATAGTCCACTTGCAAATAAATAATATTTTGCTTAACTAAATCTTTATTTATTTATTTATTTATTGTTATTTTTTTTTTTTTGCTTAACGAAATCTTGATTTATTTTTGCTTAGCCAAATCTTGATTTTTATTTTTATATTTTTATTTTTTTTTGCTTAGCCAAATCTTTATTTATTTATTTGTTTATTCATTTATTTATTTATTTGATTTGATTTTTTTTGCTTAATCAAATCTGGATTTATTTATTTTTTATTTATTTATTTCTTATTTTTTTTTTTTTATATTTTTTTTGCTTAACCAAATCTTCATTTATTTATTTTGCAAACAGACTAAACCATATGAACACAAATGCAGTTGTTCCACGAAATAGACTCTTCTCATAGACTAAGGACACTGTGATTCGGAAAAGCTATGGAACCGCGAAGCTCTAATATTATTCAGCTTATCTGTATATACGACAATTACGTTTTTCTACCTGGAATCAAAGTGTAGTATCTGTCTTCGGGTGGACAACTTACATTTTATCTCTCAATTATAATTCTGTCTTTCAGCAGAGTGTAACTCGGTTGCGTCTTTGTCTTCGGACAGTGCGTAACTAAGAAAAAATATTGAGAGGTACCCGGTTCCAAAGAACAACTGCCCGCGGCAGTATCTACCTCGTTGCACTAAAGTGTTTCGGGTCATGATTGCAGAGATAACAGTTTTCTATAACAGATTTACGTAATCGGCATTTGTTTACAAGAGTAACATTGGCCTGAAGTTACAGATCAAAAACTTCAGGTTTTAAAATGTTTAAGTTGAGAGGACTGCGTCTCTCTTCACGACGTAGGCAATCATGGCTACTCATAGATTTGTTTTCTTCATTATCTGTGAATTAATA